TGGTATCAAGTTGGAGAAGACAGTTCCTAAGACTCCACAACAGAATGGAGTGGCTGAGAGAATGAACAAAACCATTGTTGAAAGAATTAGATGTATGCTCTCTCATGCAAAGCTGCCTAAGTCCTTTTGGGGTGAGGCAATGAAGACTGCAGTTGCCATGATCAACCTTTCTCCATCAGTTGCTCTTGAATTTGATGTTCCAGATATAGTTTGGAAAGGAAAGGATGTCTCTTATACACACTTAAGAGTGTTTGGATGCAGGGCATTTGTACATGTTCCTAGAGATGAAAGGTCTAAGCTTGACAGCAAGATAAAGCAGTGCATTTTCTTAGGCTTTGAAGATGATGAGTTTGGCTATAGGTTGTGGGATCCAAAGGAGAAGAAAATTGTGAGAAGTAGAGATGTTATCTTCTTTGAAGATTAAACCATTGAAGATTTTGAACAGAAAGAGAAAACAGAGTCTACTGTTTTTATTCCATCTAATTCAACTCCAAGACCTACTCCATAGTTACCTTTGATGCCTGCTAATCATGGGGGAGACTTGTAAAATGATGATATTGATGGTTCTATTACTGAGCCATTAGTTGGTGATCCTAAATCAACTAATGATGATGTTGATGTTATTCCTGGACAGGTTATGCAAGAAGCTCCAGATGAGCCACAATTGAGGAGGTCAACTAGACTTTATCGACCTCCACCAGATATTCTCCTCATGAGTATGTGTTGGTCACTGATGGGGGAGAGCCAGAATGCTTTGATGAAGCTATGTCACATGAGAAGAAAAGTGAGTGGTTGAAAGCAATGCAAGAAGAGATGAAATCCTTGCATGAAAACCATACCTTTGAGTTAGTAAAGCTTCCTAAAGGTAAGGGAGCACTCAAGAACAAATGGGTGTTCAGGTTGAAAATTGATGAACATTGCTCACAGCCAAGGTACAAGGCAAGATTGGTTGTGAAAGGCTTCGGTCAGAAGAAGGGTATTGATTTTGAAGAAATCTTTTCACCAGTGGTCAAGATGTCTTCAATCCGAGTTGTGCTTGACATAGCTGCTAGTTTGAATCTTGAAGTTAAACAACTTGATGTGAAAACTGCCTTTCTCCATGGTGATTTAGATGAGGAAATCTACATGGAGCAGCCTGAAGGGTTTGAAGCAAAAGGCAAAGAGCAACTAGTTTGTAAGTTGAAAAAGAGCTTATATGGGTTAAAGCAAGCTCCAAGACAATGGTATAAGAAGTTTGATTCTTTCATGGTGGATTATGGTTATGACAGGACCACTTCTGATCATTGTGTATTTATGAAAAGGTTTCCAGATGGAAACTTTGTTATTCTTCTATTGTATGTGGATGATATGTTGATTGTTGGCCATGATGCTAAGAAGATTCAGATGTTGAAGGAAGAGTTGAGCAAGTCTTTTGCAATGAAAGACTTAGGACCGACAAAACAGATTCTTGGTATGAAGATCACACGTGATAGGAAGAAAGGGAAACTTTGGCTATCTCGGGAGAGATATGTTCAAAAGGTACTTAAGAGATTCAACATGAGCAACTTCAAACCTGTTTGTTCTCCACTTGCAAGCCACTTTAAACTAAGTTCTAAGCAGTGTATTATTTAATTGAATTCAATAATGATTCACGTCATTCAAGTATTCGTTATTTAATTGAATTCAATAATGATTCAATCTTTTTTATAAGCGTAATTAAGCAAGTGGTTATTTTAATTCTGAGTGAATGGAATGGAATAATTTAAGCTAATGGTTTTGTGTTTTACTTTTATTTTGTTGTTACAAGTATCATAACCCAATTTCAAGTTTTTTCTAAAGTTATCTTTTCCTTTTTTTTAAAAAAAAAAACAAATTAATAAAAATTTCATGGAAAACCAATATGAAATTTTGGACAAAATTGAGAGTTCAATTGCACTCCATTGCATCAAGATTGAAAGATAATGCAAATTTAAGATTAAATCAAATGATTATTATATAAATTTATATAAAAATTAAGTCAGATGACTTAATTAAAATTTTAATAAATCAATTTAATTTAATTATGGATATAATTAAAGGTTTATTAAAACTTTATAATCAATTTGAGTCAAATTCAAATAATTAATTAAGTGCAAGGCTTTTAATAGGTCAAATTCATTTTATTAAGGACTTAATTGGTGAAAAATTAATTCTGAAAGCTTAATTTACGTTTAATTGAGTAGATTAAAATTTTAAAGGAACAAATTTAATTTTTCCAAACCCAAGTAAATGAAATTAGGGATGAAATTGCAATAAAATCAAAGTTTTTTTTGGGGGGTCAATTATGGATCAAATTAATGAAATTCAAGGCCAAGAATCTTTTTGCAAAGGGCATGTGAATTCGGGGACCCAATTCAATTGAAAACAAGGATAAAATTGAAGAGATTAAAAGTTTGAAGGTCAATTAAGAATGAAATTGAAAATATTCAAGAGTAAGGACCAAGTTGAAAGAGGTGCTAAACTTAGAGGGTTACTTTAAAACTTGATAAGGGTGAAATTGAATTGATTCTTTTGAAATCAAAACTCAATTAAAGACCTGATTGAATAAATCCAAAGGTTAAAAGGCTAAAATTGAAAGAGATGTTTTTTTTTAAACCTAATTTAACCTTAAATGACAAAACAATATTGTTTCATTTAAATGAAATAATGTGTTTTGATAAGGAGAAAAAAATAATATAGTGTTAGACGACGCATCGTTTGACACTGTTCATCATCTTCTTCCTTTCTACTAGAAAAGCTACTCGAATTGCTACTTTTTAGAGGCATTTAAATGCCTCATCTATTTAACAAACAAAACAAACAAGCCATTACTCTTACAGCTCAACATTGTACTACACCCCAGCTTGATTCCCACCATATGGCCGTCTTTGTAGCTGCTGCGGCGTGGCCCCAAAGACAACTACCTGATTAGCTTGTGTAACCCAATTTTAACAACATGGGATGATGAATTTTGGCCAACAATTAAGATTCTTACCATTTGAATTAAGGGTCATGATTCATGACAGATAAACACTCCATGCCTCTCTTTCAACCTCTATAAATAGTGGTAAAATCCATTGAGAAAAGAAGGAGAGACTGAAGCACAAACCTACCCCTTGCACCAACTTTTCTTTAAAAAGAAAAAAAAAGCAGAAAAGAACACATCCATCACTCTTTCTCTCATTTTTTCAAAGACACAAAAACAACCACCCCTGTCCCAACCCTAACATCACATTTTCCAGCCTCTTCCTTCTGACTTTCCATCATCTCCATTTGCACTAACAAAAAAATGAAAACAACCTATATACCATTCATAGCTTCTTTAGCTCCCACAACCTCCATTAGCAAACCACCACACCACATCTGAAGTTCCATTAGCTAGCCGACATACCCATCCAGCCTAGGTAAGCCTCTTCCTGCTCTTTATCTTCTTACAATGCATGTTAATACATGTCGGTAATGTGAAGTGAAGAAATAATTCACATTACTAGCATTTGCCAACCGTTACTGGGTTGGCATAGTGGTGGCTAAATAATGGGCTAAGCCTTTGCTTCAGCCAAGCCTGCGTGGCTAGGTTGGATCTAGCTCACACATAAAAAACAACTTCTGGGTTTTTGAGATAGCCTAGATTCTACACGACCCAGTAGCTTAAACTCGCCGGAGAAGCGAGTTCCTGCACCAACGCCGGCTATGGATAAGGCGGGGCACACTGCCATTGCTGGTTTAGATATTAGACAGGTAGATTAAAAAGAGTGGGAGGTTTTGCATAAAGAGCTGAGATATCTGTGGTAGGAAGGTACAAACCCGGGCAGCTTGAGTGCATTTGTTGCTTTGCTTGTACGGCTATTTCTGGACAAACTACATATGAGTCCTCCAATTTCAACCTGAGTCACATTGTTCTCCCATTAAAATCTTGCTCTTTTAGCTATGACATTGGTACTGACAACACAAGAAAAAACATTGGTTTTGTATCATGTCCGAGCATTGCTTTAGGTCAACTAGTTTAGAAAATAACTATATATCTTTTTTTTTCATTTGGAGGGTTTTTTTTTTTAACAGATCAACAAATTGAGATTCGCAACTTCAGCGATCATGTACTTTTCTAGATTGAGATTGGAAATTTCAATTGTGTGCTAGATTTCCATGAAGTGAACGCTTTTTTTTTTTTTTTTTCCTATTGGAGAAGTCAGCCAATCCTCAATATTTTAATCCCATGTCTCTAAAATAATAATACAAACAAAAAATTATTTAGAGAATTGTCTCTTCTTCGTTTAGACCAACCAAATCAACTTTTGCTTAAATTGTTAGAAGAAATAATAATGCGTTTCGTAGACCAATGCAACAAAAATAAGATTTCTTCAGTTTTATTTATTTTTAATTACTTTTGATGATGGCAAGTGGGCTCTTTATCTTCCTTGTGTTTGATTTTGAGATGTGATAATTTTTTTTAAAGAAATGCAATACCTTTTAAGCAAAAATTACATCTTTAAAAGCTAAAAAACCATGTTTTACCCATGAAAAGCATAAGCTACCTTCCATCCAAACACATAATAAAATCTTGATGGTCCTCTTAGCAATATATTTATGTAATACGGGAGGTCAAATAATATAAGAATTTTGCATGTGAAAGCTGAAGATGCCACAATTTATAAGAACAAAGAAAGTAAGATTATTCTAGCAGTTTTATTTATTTATTTCAAAAAAAAATATTGGTAAAGGGATCAATGAAACTATAAGAAAAGTACTCCTGGAAAAGTACCATGGTAGCCAATCGCTTTGGATGACTCTTCCATAGGATCTGGTAAGCAAAATTAAATGCTGAGAGAAAGAAAGTAAACCCTAGAAATTTTCAGGGTCGGATGTCTTGTCTTACTGTTACTACTTTTGAAAGAGTCTTCTAAAGAAGTCATTATCTTAGGGACACAGCCATACCAACGGGCAGTCTATAAGTATAGAGGAACTGAGGCTTATGCCATTCACATCCTCATTCGCTAGTAGATTTCTTTAGCTTCGGCACCATTTTCTACCACTTGATTTTCAATACATTTTGCACAGCATACGAAATGGTTTCTCGTTTATCTTTAGCTTGTGTTGTTTTTTCATTATTCTTGATTTCCTCATGCTTGCCATGCCAAGCACAACTGTCTTCAAACTTCTATGACAGCGCATGTCCGAATGCACTGACCACAATTCGTACTGCTATTCGGAGAGCTGTCTCGAGTGATCGCAGAATGGCAGCATCCCTTATTCGTCTTCACTTCCATGATTGCTTTGTTCAAGTAAATTACTCGATCTCTACAACATTAATACTGCACAGACAGATTTATTTCAGTCTGGAACTGATATATATGTTTGCTATATTGCAGGGTTGTGATGCTTCAATCATGCTTGACAATTCTCCTTCAATAGATAGCGAGAAATTCTCATTCAGCAATAACAATTCAATCCGGGGATTTGAAGTCATTGATGAAGCCAAGGCTCGAGTGGAGAGCATATGTCCTGGAGTTGTTTCGTGTGCTGACATCGCTGCTGTAGCAGCCCGTGATGCATCTGTTGCTGTGAGTAACGCATTCCCTGCTTGGAAAGCTTCTCATTCAGACGTGATCAATCTAGTTATATGTTCGGTTTCTATCTATAATACAGGTTGGTGGACCCTCATGGACAGTGAGACTTGGAAGAAGGGACTCCACCACAGCAAGCCAAAGCCTAGCTGACAGCGATATTCCTAGAACTACAACTAGCCTTGTAAACCTAATTGACATGTTCAATGGAAAAGGTTTGAGTGAAAGAGATATGGTTGCCCTTTCAGGTGTGTGCCTAAATAAGAACTTGAACAGTTCCAACAATTTTCTAGGGCTAAACATATATCTAAACCCCCGAATGTATTGCTGTCAAAGTTTGACTAAAGATTTCATTTTGATACAGGATCACATACAATAGGCCAAGCAAGATGCGTGACCTTCCGAGGCAGAATATATGACAATTCAAGTGATATTGATGCTGGTTTCGCTAGCACCAGAAGACGCAATTGTCCATCTGCTTCCGGTGACGGAAATAATAATCTTGCTCCACTTGATTTGGTGACACCCAATTCTTTCGATAACAATTACTTCAGGAACCTCATTCAAAGGAGGGGACTTCTTCAATCAGACCAAGTGCTCTTTAGTGGTCAATCTACAGACAGCATAGTCACCGAGTACAGCAGGAACCCTTCACTTTTTAGTTCTGATTTTGCCGCTGCCATGTTAAGGATGGGAGACATAGAACCACTGACTGGTTCTCAAGGAGAGATACGAAGGGTTTGCAGTGTTGTTAATTGATTCGCTGAACAACCATTCAAATTCAAGATTTTTTCCTCATTTGATTCTTAAAATAAATAGTGGCTTCAGCAAGATATAATCTACTCGAAGCAACCCAATAGTCATTCAAGTAGTCGTTATTTAATTGAATTCAATAGTGATTCAATCTTTTTTATACGTGTAATTAAGCAAGAGCTTATTTAAGTGTTTATTTTAATTCTAAGTGAATGGAATGGAATAAATAAAGCTAATGGTTTTGTGTTTTGTTTTTATTTTGTTGTTGTAAGTCTCATAATCCAATTTCAACTTTTTCCTAATTTTTTTAAAATAAAAAATCTAGCAATTTTGCTAGAGCAGGCTAAGAAGAGTTTTAAATGCATAGAGAAATCAATGTGGAAATTTGGATAAAATTAAGAGCCTAATTGTACTTCATTACACTCAAGATTAAAATATAATGCAAATTTAAGATTAAATCAAATGATTATCCGATGGATTTGAAAGTTTGAGGATATAATTATGTTTTTGATATGCCAATTTGATTTAATCATGAATCCAATTAAAGGTTTAATTAAATTTTATAATTAATTTGAGTTAAATTAAAAGAATTAATTAAGTGTAAGGACTTAATTAGGCTTTTAATTGGTCAAATTAATGTTATTAGGGACTTAATTTGTGAAAACTTAAGTTTAAAAGCTTAATTTTGGTTTAATTGAAAAAATTAAAATTTTAAAGAGCCAAATTTAATTTTTCCAAACCCAATTAGGTGAAATCAGGGATGAAATTGCAAGAAAATTAAAGTTTAAGGGTTAATTAAAGGCTAATTGAAAAAATTCAAGATCAAAGACCTTTTTTCAAAGGGCATGTGAATTTAAGGACCCAATTCAATAGTAAACAGGGATAAAATTAAAGAAATTAGAAGTTTGAAGGTCAATTATGGATAAAATTAAAAATATTTAAGACTAAAGACCAAGTTGAAAGAGGTACTAAACTCAGAGAGTTACTTTAAAACTTGGTAGTAAAAATTGAATTGATTCTTGAATTAAAAATTCAATTAAGGACATGATTGAATAAATTCAAAGGTTAAGGGGCTGGAATTGAAAAAAGAGTTTTTTTTAAAACCTAATTCAACCCTAAATGTCAAAACGATGCCGTTTCATTTAAATAAAACAATGCATTCTGGTAAGGAAAAAAATTAATATAATGCCGACGACGCCTCATTTGGCACTCTTTATCATCCTTTTCATTTACACTAAAAAAGTTTATTGAGTGACTATTTTTTAGAGGTATTAATATGACCAAAAAATTAATATTTTCTCCTAAGTGCAGTAGTGTCAAAGTAATAAATAACCCGGCAAGACTAGTGTCGAACCACAAGGAGGTTAATTATATAAATTATAAATAATAACAATAACAACAATAATACTAGTAATAGTAGTAGTAGTAATAATAATAATAATAATAATAATAATAATAAAGAATAAATTAAAGAGGACTTTGAGATTGTAAGATTAATATAAGGATTAAACAATAATAAAAACAAATGTTAAGGTTAGAGGATTTACTAATGGTATTTCAAACAAGTATAATATAAACTCTTTTTATTATTCAACTGAAAACCACACACAAAGGGGGTTCCAATTGGATTATAGCTAAAGTAAATTCATAGCCAACATACATTAATTCTGTGTTTCAACATAATTTTTAAAACAGGAATAGAGCTTATAGTCTTACAATTCCCTTGAATAAAAGCCATGTTAGGTTTTGCCTTTGTCTAAAATTATTAACTCTGCAAACAGACAGAAAACCTTGTTAACAAATTTAGCTAATAATTAATCTAATGGCTCAACTCTTAATTAAAAATGATGAACCGCAGCAGTTACTGGAAATATCCTATCATTCTACCCTGACCAAGAAATTTCGACGAGTGTAACCTGATGGGGATAGATATATGTTTCTACTCCTCGGATTTGTACACCCACTTACGTTTCAATTGTTATCCTCTCTTTGCAAATGACGAAAAAGTTTCCTAAATCAGTCACCCTAGAGATAAATTTTGGAGGCCGGATAAGATAGGGATCCACATTCTAGACCTTGGATTTGAATCAAATCCCTTGATTTCTATCTATTTGGAATGACAGCAAAGTTTTGAATTTCCATCATTAATGTTGTGCTAATTACAGCACTGGCAATATTGACCCAAACACCTTATACGGTATGAAATTATATGATAGGACAAAACCGGCAGGTGGTATCAAGATACCAAATCCCAGAGATAAAGCACGTTGTTTTAGAAAACCTAGAAGGGAATAAACGCATGTCTTCTCTATATAAACATCTTATTCGCCAAACCCTCACAGTCATCAAATGGAACAAACCATGGATAGCCGCCGCCTGCCACAGAGCTCAACTACTTGAAGAGAAGAAAGCCGGTGTCGTATTTCATTTATAATAATCTGGGTTAGGGTTTTGACACTTGCTCGTTCTTAAACTTTAATTCTGTCTATGTGTGTTTCAGTATCTGTTTTAAGTTTCATTGGAGTCTGATCTTTCTTTTTTAACTCTGTGTCTTCAGGTTCTGCGGACCCAAGAAATGAAGGGACGAAAGACCTTCATTTCCGAATGGACCCGGATGAAAAACTTATCAAACATGTCCTTCTGTGGTGGTTTTGGTCATGGAGCGAGTTATCTTCACGTAGATGTGTTGAAAAACACACAGATTCCTCGTACATGTAGTGATTTCGGTTATAAGGGTCTGTCCGAGATCTGATGTTTGTTCATTACATTCTGCAACTCGAAGAAACTAACAAAAAGAAACGGAAGGCTGGGGGCGAGATTGATAGTCGAGGTCCATCAGGATCTCAATCCAATAAAAGGCAGAGATCAAGGTAAAGATGAAGAGGACGTTGCTGCTGATATCTGACTACCTTGTTATGATATGGTTGCTACATGTTATTTAAAGTCAAGATCTCCTTCTCTTAGATCTTTGATAGTATATGATTGTCCAGGATCATGCTGTAGATCATGCACATAGAACTTGATTTTCCACTTCTGAATAAATTGCCCTTTGCCTAATCGGAGCAATCGGGCGAAAACGAAAGGTAGAAGCTGGTGGCTTATGCTGTTTCGATTATCCCATAAGATTGAACATCAGCCCATCATACAATCACTCTCTTTTGCAGCTATTAGCTCATCTCAGATCGTCAATGGATGAAATTTCGACTTGACAAATACCATATATAATCATTTTAGTCTTGACTGGCCTGATTCTGTAGCACGGAAGAAGATGGTACATAGGACCGCGTGAAAATCATCTTAACCATTCTCGTGACGCTATCTGACATCGAAACAGCACAAGATCGTGTGCAGCCTGCTTCAGATCAGTGAATAATGCCAAGAACATGAATATCCCAAGATGAACTCAGGATGAAAAATGATATCCCACTTAAATTTTTTTCAATGTTGTAATAAATCAGATTCAACAATGATGAAAAATCAATTTGTACATCGATTATTATGTAAAAAAATTGCACATTGATAATCTCTTTTATTATCTTTTTCCATGTGAATTTGCTTCTACTTATTTATATCCCTAAAATCTTGATTTATTACTGAAAGCATTGAAATTCGTTAAAAGTTCACTGCCCCATTTTTAAATTTAATCTGGTAAAGCTTCCATAATAATGGCAATTTAAGAAATGTTCAATGCCAACTGAAAAAAGAAGAAGAAAAAGACAGTATATGGTTATCCTTAGTCATGATGAATTCAAATGCTAATGGTACTGCCCTTTCTTTTCTTTTCGTTTTTCTTTTTGACCATATATATTCCAATATCATATGTTTAATTTTGATATTTATTTTATGATTTTCAAATCTATTAGGCCCAATTTTTTACTGCTATATATCATTTTGAACAAAATCTAACTTATATCATTAACAATTAACTAGAAAGCTAAAAGAGTACGGATTTTTACTATACCTCTATTCACAAAACACTATTCACTTGAATAGTATTTGTTTTCTTTTCTTATAATTTTAATTTTATTGCTAATATTATATTTGTTAGGGATTGAACTTTCTAATTTTGTTATTTATTTTTTATGAGGTTATTCTATTTTTATAACCCGGATTAAGGATTTGACTGGTTAATTTAATTGATATGAGTTTTTTTTTCTATTTTTTCTCAACTAACTTTCTTTTTCAATTTCACCATTGAATTTATTGAGAATTATACTTCATGATTTATTTATTTTTTATTTTTTATTAAGCTATCTTAATCTTATGACTCGAGTTACAGGTTTGATATTTTAATTTGTGTTGACTCGAGTAAGTTTTTTTAATCAATTTTTTAATTTCAATTCCATCCTTCAACATTAGATTTAGTTTTTTTTTTTGCTTGTTAAACACACATTACCTTAAACTTTATTAATTGTCAAGCACATGTTTTCTAGGTTTGACATATTCACCAAACCCATTTTATTTAAGATGATTTTTGTTTATAAAAATCTTAATAAAAAAATTAACACATCATGGCATGGCAATCTTTGCACTTTGTAATCAAGTACTCATATTAGTATAAAATAGTCTAAAATACCCAGACAACTAATCATCCAAAATCAAGATCTCAATAATACCTAGGTTCCAGTCAAAGTAGGATATCGAACAACTTTTGAACTGAGTGGAATGTCTATAATCTTATGTATTGAAATGTTATAAAAATCTTGTAATATCTTTAGGTTAAATTTATTTCCACACTTTGAATCTTAAATTGCTGCTAGACAACCTTGGATTTGTTCTGGATCACCAAACAAGTGTCTTAACTCATTTTTGGGTTATTCCTCAATTCACATTTTTTTCCCCTCTTTAAAATAAAATAAAATTATAAAAAATATAATAGTGAAAAAAGGATGCCAAAGCGCCTAGAAAATGGTAAAAAATTGGTTAAGGAGGTTCAAAAACATGAAGATTGAAATTTGATAGTATTTTATTGACTGATGAGAGCCCTATTAACAAAACAAATTCAATATGAGGAAGAAAAGTAAAAAATCAAACATTTATGGACTCAATTAAATTTTATT